TCCGCTTACTCCCTTCTTCAAGTTACTGCCCTTCTATCTGCCCTGGCTCCATCCTACATTGGGTCCCCAGGACATCTGTTTCTGGCTCCAGGCCTCTGCCTTTCCCAGGGGTACCGACTAGCCTCCCTCTCCCTGCCAGTGCTCGCAGGACTGACCCTCTAGCTTCGCTTTGGGGCCTCTCCTGTGGGCTGCCCAGTGCCCAGGGCCCCTTGACGGCAGCCTGGGAGAGTGAGCCAGAGTTGAGAGATCTAGATGGGACATCAGCAGGTGAAGAAGACACGATTATTGTTGGATGCCAACCACGGGAGTGGGCACTACCAATTCTTCATTGTCGTCCCGCTCAGGGAATTTATTTTTGCCCCAACTCTGAATGCTGCCACCAATTGTTTCTGGGATTTCAGTTAACATTATGAGATATTTAATGGCATGGTACTTACAGAATTATCTTTACCTTGAGTTATCAAAGGACAAACGTGGGAAAGAGCTCAAAACTAACTAGGGCGAGGGTCTAGATTTATCAGGTTGTATTTCTTATAAAGAAGGAAAAAAAATGCAAAACCAAGTTGAAAGTAAGTATTGAGTTGTTGGGAAAGTCATGACATATTTTTTCTGTTTTTCGTTGCAAAAATGCATCATGACTTTTCCGACAACCCAATATAAATTACAGTAACTCAGGTTATTTAATTTTTTTGAATTTAAATTTGAAACTTTTGGTTTGGCATTTTATAAAATTTAAGTGTATATTTCTGGGACTCTGATTGATAGGCTATTTTGAGTTTGAAAGCATTCTCTGTTGACCTACCTTTATGTTCTAATAAAATAGAAAATATGAGCTAATAATCTCATCATGGCCTTTTTTCTTCACTGCTTTCCATGACCAAGTAATTTTTTAATTTTTATGTTTCATTGCAGTAAAATACACATAACATATAATTTGCCATATTAACCATTTTAAGTGTGCAATTCAGTAGTGTTAAGTGCATTCATATTATTGTGCAACTAATCTCCAAAACTTTTCATCTTGCACTAAGTAATTTTTCACTTTTCACTTTTAATGTAGCAAATTTCTAAAGCAAATTTCTTAGTGTGTGTGTGGCGGGGGGAAGGGGGGTGGAGGATGAGGGGTGGGATTTCTTTCAAGATCAAATATCTTTCACTTCTAACCCTCAGGGTCTTATAATAAGTGGTAACAAGAAATGTATTGTACAACCTTCAAGGCCTCGTAGCTGAATCTGCTCTCACACTGTGACTAAAGACGTTATTCTACTTTCCTACCTGCAGACAGCCCAAGAGTAATACCTTTTCATGATTGAATGCATGCACTTAACATGTGTACACGTCTTTATCTCCCACCTCAGGAAAACCTTTCTTTTAAAGCAATGTAAGCAATTCAGGACTTTCTGTACAAACATCTAGATATGAAAAAGTAATTACTAATATAATAATAACAACTCTAAATGCCATACGGTAGGAAGTAGTAAAAATGCTTTTCATGGGAAAGAAGCACTAATTCAAACTATTGATATCATCTTACTTTGTATCCCTGTAATTTAAAGCACAGACTGTGTGTAAGGAACAAAAGTATTTAGAAGGCACCCATGACAATGAGGACGAACACCTGAAGGCAGCAATGAACAAATATTCAAGCTCATCCCTTGAGACTCCTTATTTATTATCATTGTGCTTTGGTATATAATGCCCTTTTTACCATCTACATTCTTTTTAAGTATGTGTTTTTCAATCAGACAGGGGTTGTTTTACAGTGTTTCAATTCATGTAAGTGCACATTTTGGAAAGCCAAATATTGGAAATGAAGCATTACCTTTTTAACCATTCCAGACTCTGCAGGTAAAGGACCAGGCGCCTCATTGGTGGTATGAAAGAACTGGGAGTCCCCGCAGTGCAGTGTGAATTCCTGGCACTCTCCATGTCCTTCATCCACTACATCCAAAGCTCTGTAAATAGTGGAAACACAGTTATGTCAACAATCTATCAAGAAGACTGGAAACCCAAAGGCACATTTCTCCATGTGTGTAGTTGACCCTTAAACAACACGGGTTTGAAGTGTGTAGGTCGAATTATATGCAGACTTTTTTCAATAAACTCAGTCGGCCTCTGTAACTGTGGGTTTCACATCCGTGAATTTAACCCATCGTGAATCAAAAACAGTAATGTCGATCAGCAGTTGGAAGTGCATGGATATGGAGGGCCAACTGTATACATTGTTCTATGTCATTTTATGTAAAGGACTTGAACACCCCAGATTTTGGTATCCAAGAGGGGGTCCAGGAACCAATTCCCTGCAGATACTGAAAGCCAACTATAGTTAGGTTTTTGGGGAGTTAAAAGTTTATAAGCAGATTTTGGACTACACGGGGGTCAGTGCCCCTAATCCCTGCATTGTTCAAGAGTCAACTATATTTCCAATCAGCCAAAATAGTGAATCATTCTTCAAAACCTGCACAGGATTGTAGATAATTTGGAACTCTCATAACATAACACGTTTATAAATAAATCTTGATGACTTCACCATGTGGCTAAATAGAATTCTTTTAAACCCTATGCAGAAAAAATTAGAGATGAATAGGTAGGTAAATAGATTTTGGCAGGAAAGCAATCCAACTTAATTTGATGATTTCTTGGTAGCTCTACTGTCATTGCTCTGTTTTTTGGTTTTTTTTTTTAAGATTTTATTGGAGAATTGGGTGAGGGGAACAGCGTTGGGGAATCGGGGAGGAGAAACAAAAAAGTTGCTGTCCTTTGGTTCTTTAGTCTAGTTGTGGAGGACATCGCTTTACTGGTCCATGTTGGTATTATCATTGTGCTCTTCCCAGGAGAGGCGGTCACTTGCCAGCCATTGGACGGCCACTCATGGCGGCTCATGGCAGCTCTCGCAGCTGCGAGCCACTGACGGTAGCTCACAGCAGCTCACTGAAGCCCTACTGCAGCCTACACCGTCGCCGGCAACTCACAGCAGTCCAGCTCCAGGTCCAGCTGTTGTTCACCATCTTAGCTGTAGAGGGCGCAGCATCACTGGCCTATATGTGGGATCTGAAACTGCGGCCCTGCTCCTCAGAGCTTGCACTCCCAAGCCAATTCTTAACCAATTGAGCCACTCGGCCGGCCCTCTTTTTTTGTTATCAGTTTCAGGTGTACAAAACAATGATTAGGTATTTACACCCTTCACAAAGTGATAACCCCAACAAGTCTACTACCCATCTGACAACGTACATAGATATTACAATACCATTGACTATATTCCCTATGCTGTCCTTTACATCCTGTGATTATATATACATACATTTTTTTAAATTATAGGTGATATTCAGTATATTAGTTTCAGTTGTACAGTGCAGTGGTTAGACATTTATATAACTTATGAAGTGATCCCCCAGATAAGTCTCATAGTCATCTGACAGCATACATAGTGTTTACATTATTGACTATTTCCTATACTGTATTTCACATCCGCATGACTCTTTTGTGACTACCAATTTGTACTTCCTAATCCCTTCTGTCATTGCTCTTAAGAAAAAATTTGTAAGTTTCCTGAACATTGGAAATGAAGTGGAAACTGAATCCCAGTTAGGGAGGGATCTGGGCTATGCCAGGAAAAGGGAATTGTTCCCAGGATTACAATATTTATTAGGATTACAAGGAATGGAAACCAATGAAGGCAGAAAGAGAGTTCTAGCACACTGGTGGTTGCTTACCCAAAACCCATTTCCTCTATCCAAACCCCCAGCCTTACCTCCACCCCCTACATTTTCTTTGCTAATAACCCTGCTATCTAAATATGTTTTATGTATGTACGTGCCTCATACATACATAAAAGAAAAGCTGCTTTGGTGAGGTAATCAATCGTGATTGAGCTAATCCTGGTGTCCCCTTCCCCTCGCTGGCAATTGATTTAGATGTATGCCCACACATATCTCTCTTGCTGAAGTCACCACATTGATTTAGGTCTCCCTGACCCTCTAAAGTGTTTATACTTTGCCCTACTTATCTGGTAAAATTTTTGCCAATGACATGTAAGTCTGCTGAAGGAATCAGTGAAAGGTCTTAGAAGGTTTACAAAAAGAAATAGTGCATTGCCAGTTCTTCTTTCCGGCAGGCCAGTGTCATGCCTACATGTGATAAATGTGACAGCCATCTTGGGGCCATGGGTGGTATTAGCCTAAGGAGAATAGATGGAGGAGAAAACAGGACAGAAATACGACAGCAATTTGAGTCTTCAAACATACTGCTGAGCAGCTGAATTAACCAATCCGAGACCTGTCCTAGCTCTAAACTTCTAGTTATGTTACATAACAAATACCCTATTCTTAAGCCATTTTGAGTTGGGTGTTATCAGCAAGTGAGCATTCTAACTGATACAAGATTTGATGTATTTCTTATATGTATAATTAGGGCTGGGGATAAAGATACTGGACCAGGAGAAGGGCTTTGAATGGAGAGGAAAGAGAACTAAAAATCCAGGCCTTTAATACTTCATAGAAGATACAGAAGCTTTTGTGGAATTTCTACAATGTGCCAAAGATAAAAAGATAACTAGGGTGAAGCATTAATACTTTAGAGGGACAGGGAGACAGAAATCAATGTGGTGATGTCAGCTGGAGAGATATGTAGGGGCATAATTTGGAGAACTCTATTATATACATCTTTGTTCTAGAAAACATTCTCTGTATTATAGAAAATGTGAAGATATATTAGCAGCAATAATTCCTTTTTGCCTTTCCTCAATTTTGTACCATAAAAGTATTATTTGTACACAGTAAAGATAATCCAAGCAGTATCAAAGGGAACCGAAATAAAAAATAATTTCTTGAGCCCCATCATAATTTCATTCTGCATCAGTAACCACTCGGAACGGTTTACTTCCTGCAACATTTTATGCCATATATAAGCACTTAAAAAAATACATTTCTACCTTCTGAGAGATAGTGCTGAAGATAGCCTCTGAGGCAAACCTCTCCTCAGGAATTAGAGTCCATATGTATGAAGAGAGAGAGAAACAAGTGTAGCTCAGGAGAATTTAGATAACAACTAAAAAGTATCTTAAAGTTGAGAAGGTATTATAATCTTATCATGGATGTGCATCAAGACCTATTTTTACCACAGTAACTATTCCTCTGACCCTAAACCACAGTGCTCGCCTGTCCTGCTCACAAATAAGCCAAGAGGAATGGCAAGCAAGAGAAAAAGACCACTAGAACTTGAAAACTGATCGCAACCACTGTGGTCTTATAAATTGTAAAAGTAAACCAGAAATGTATAGGAAGTTTGCCATTTTTAATGTTCTCCCTTTCTGGAGAAAAATATGAGTGCAGAGATAAATGCAAACTATGCTTGCTTCCTAAGTCTTTGTTATTGGAGGAGGGCACCCAAAACAGAGTTCGCTCTTCCTGCTAGATACTTACACATTGTGTGATTAAAAGCTGGCAAGGGTACACTTTCTATATATTTTGCTTGCAATCTAATCCCTGCCTATAGCATAAGATCCTTTTGCCTGCAAATAACATGAAGTCCAACTCACAGAAGCCTAATCAAAAATGAAATTTATTATCGCATATCAAACAAGAGGGGTGCATTAAGCTGGTTTAATCAGTTGCTGCTTTCAGTGACTGCTACAGTTCTGGTCATCATATACAGGTATAGTCATTTCAGAGGATAAAAAGACTATCTCATTCTGTGTATCTCTTTTAGAAGTGAGGAAGCCTCCCTAGAAGCCATCTAGCAGACTTTTCTTCATGTCTCATCCTATACCAAACCAATCGCTGGACCTACCCCTTGAAGCTGGGACCGAGGGGCATCACTGTGCAGAGAGGGCACCTGAGCAAGCTGGGGTTCTATTAGGAAAAAATGAGCAGGGGTGGGAATGAAAATGAATGTCGGTGTATGTCACATCACCTCCCTAACTTTGTCTTGAAACATGTCCTCCACACTTAGTACATACACTGTTGGTAGAGGTAGAGTTGATACATGTCATGACTGGATTTGAGTCATCAAAAGAGAAACTTTCATGATTTTGACCTCATAGCATGTTGAACCCAGGGAGCCTGCTTGCCCTCCTGATTTGAGGATAAACTAATATGACTTAGCATGCTATTCGAGGGTTTATTCTACGTGCTTGGGGTCATGATCGCCCAGATGAAAGGTAGGTTTCATTTCTCAACAGCCAGAAAAAGGGGAGGACTATTACAGATAATCTGGGGAAGGTCGTTGCTTCACCCATAATTCTGAAACAGGAAATGCTGATGTTATAGTACAACCAATAACCTTCCTTTAAGGGGAGGATGATGATGATGTGTTGGCTGACTTCCCTTTCCTCCTGACCCAGATCCAAGCAGTGTGGCTGTGTACTTGGTTACAGGAGCCATTATTTCAAAGCTGGCTCCAGGACTTGGTAGGCAGGTAAAGAAAGGCCACAGGATGTGTGCTGAGAGGGCGTCACAAGCAGAGCTCGACTTCGGGTTAGAGTCTCCCCAGCCTCAGATGCCCAGGCCATCCCAGGGGCATTTTCCAGTTCCCTTAGTGTCAGACACAGATCTTCTCAGAGCAAATGAACTGCACAAGTTTGTCTCCTGGAACACAAGCTTCACAAAATATTACGCAGAAATAATAGGCCTGGAATCATGCTGGAGGGTACGGTACCTAGGCCCTAAGTTAACTTTTTAAACAATATCTAGCATTCATTCTTTCAGAAAGCATTTTTAGATCTCCTACTTTGTGTATCAACGTACACAAAGGTGAGCAAACCCACTCCCTGACCTCAAGGATAATAAGGTCTTGTAAGACATGACTCATTGGGTGGGCAGTGGTATCTTAATTCTGAATCATAGTTACCTGTGGAGTTCGACATAGATAAGTCTCCCTAACCTAAAAGCCAACCTTAATAAGTATTTGCAACAGGAAAGGCCAATTGGAAATTTTGTTAATTTTTCTTTTCCAAAGA